GCCTTGGCGACTTCTGGTCATAATTGCTGTCAGAATCAGTCAGATACATTTAGGAGCGTTCCCACCACAGTGGGGCTGTTCTGAGCCTCCACTGTGACACTGAGGGCATACTCACACTAGGACTTTTTGTGATTGTGGTTAGATTCATCCATAACTGGCTGTAATTGCAGTCAGATACATTTACAAGGTGTTTGTATGCTGTGAGAGCATCCATCTGGTGCCTGGGTCACAACAATGGCCCCAAAAGTCGCAGGTGACTTCTCATCACTGTACGTAGCCATTTTTTTTTTAATAGAAGAGAACTGTTTCAGTGCTGAAAAAAGAAAACTCTTATGACAGAGTTTCTAACGACCTATTTCGTAGTTTAGAATCGGTGGCCCCTTCTGAGATGCCTAGCCTTTTCGTTTTCCCCGTCAGCCAATGGGACGCTTTCAATATGATCTTCGACGTATAGCTCAAAGAAAAACCAGAGTCTGGCTTCACAGCAGACAAAGGAAAACAAACTGGGGGCACATGTGATCTACTGTGAGATTGGTAAGCCATCTATAGCCGGTGTCGCTCACTAGGGGCGAACTGGACTCTTTGCAAGCTAAGGTGTTGGCTGGTGTGACCGTGCCCCAGATGGATTCTCCTCTGGCGGGAGGTGGTAAGAGCACCTGCATGTGAGAGGGGAGGAACCTGTTTTTCTTTGTAACGAAACTGTTTTTCTCTTCTATATTACCGTTTTGCAAAACTTTTTTATTCCCCCAATAAAAGCGGCTCCAAAATAAAGGATATTCATTTGCGAAGTCTGTGCTTGAATTTAGGAAGGAGAGTTGAAACGGTGGAGACAAGAAAAAGAGGCCAAAAATAATAATAATAAGAAAAGCTATGGAAATCAACAGACGAAAAATACTGGGGAAAAGAGATTAAATTAGTTCCGAACATAACAATTAGAGTAACCAGCCCCTGGGGCGAGGTCCCACTAGCAAAGAGGATTGAATTAAGCACATGAATCTGGACGTGTTTCATGCAGAGATGCAGAAAAGCAGATCAATCTCTACTGGGACCTTGCAACTGGGTAGTACTGTGTTCTTGAAAGTGTTTCAAAAAAGAAGAAAGAAAAAATCGTCGGGACTGTAGTTATGGCTCTGCAGGAAAGGTATGAGTGTGAAAAGAAAATCGAAGCTGAGCCGAAAATCGAAGCTGAGTAATGCTCTCTGTATCGGGGTGTGTGGTTACTCTAGCAAAGCGGGTTGGATTTAACGCCCAAATCTGGACCTCTTTCTGGCGAGGTGCAGAACCTCATGATCTGCTAAAAATCAGATGCAGGCGCCTGATCCTCTTTGCTAGTGCGACCGCATGCAACTGTTTGTGAATTCCTCGGCCTCGCCCAACTTTATTTTCTTTTTCTGTTTCCCAACTTGAGTTTAATGACTATGTTGATTTAAAAAAAAACAAGCTCTTTTCTCTTGAGGGTCTGCCTGGCCATTGCCAACAGTTGGGGAAAATGTCTACTGTGGGTGAGTACCTTAGCCTTCTGTTCCCCGCCCCCCCCCCCCTCCTCTCCCCCCAAATCTATCTTTCTGTGAGACCCTTGGCCTCCTTGTCCTCGACTTCCTCCTCACATCCCTGCTGCTTCACCCCGCCTCAGAATACAAGGATGAAGGAAAAACGGTGAGAAGTGCCTTGCTGGTAAGGGGGTGCGCTGATGCAGCAGGGAATGTCTGCTACCGGACGAAACCGAACCTGGCCCCAAAGGGCCTGGCCACAAATGGAGGAAGCCCGAAACGTGGCCTTGGTCCGAACAGACCACAAGTCTGTTCGGAGACACAGCAAGTTGGAAACGACGCCTGAAACAGACAAAAATAGAACAGACAGAGAGTCAGCAGATAAATAAATAAATGCTGCCTCAAATCTCTTTTAAAATGGCTGTGGGCCTCCAGGTCGCATGCCTGGAATGGGTGTGCAACTTAGGGGGCCTCAGCAACCGTCGGGCCCCCAAAATCGGGCCCGTGTGCAGGCGCAGCATTGCAACAGTGTGTGTGTGTGGGTGTGTGTGTGGGTGTGTGTGTGGGTGTGGAGATGTTCCTTGTACATTACTCCTACAGTTGGGCTCGTGGCATTTTTTTGCACTTTTTTGCATTTTTTGGCGTGGGGAAATCAACGCGAAATGACTCAAGAGTTGAAAAACTCTCTTCTGGTCGAAATGTTTGTTCAGCCTCCTCATGAGTGTCTGTGACGAAGTGTATGTTCAGCCTCCTCCTGATAAGTGAGGTTGTCAAACTCCGCTGAAACAGTCTGTTACAGCCCCTGTTTCTTGGCCTGTTCTCCCTTTCTCTGTTGGTTCATTGGGCATCTCTCTCTCTCTCTCTCTCTCTCTCTCTCTCTCTCTCTCTCTCTCTCTCTCTCTCTCTCTCTCTCTCTCTCTCTCTGTGTGTGTGTGTGTGTGTGTGTGTGTGTGTGTGTGTGTGTGTGTGTGTGTGTGTGTGTGAAAACTCTGCAAACAAACTTATGCTATGTTTAGCTTATTCATGATCTCCCTGAGAAAGGCAATCAGTACAGTTCTCTTGAGTTCTTTTCCTGATTTTGAATAAGTTCAAAATTCACGACGTTCTCTTTCCGGTGTATTTTACTAGTCTTTTGAATAGAATTCAATCCCCTTTCAGTATGAGAGATGGCAGAATGGTTAATAGCCCCGGTCTTGAAAACCGGTGTCAGGTGTTGAGCCCATCTGCGCTCCATGCACTCGACAAGGGTGTGGTTCTTCCCCTCATTACGACCCTTTTCTGGGTTAAAGCTTGAAAGACAAAAATGTTTGGAGCAGTCTCTACGATTTTGTCTTTCCCAAGTTGACAATGTACCCCGTTCATCTTTGCTTCTCATCGTGGCCTCTTTTGTGATTCGTGCAGGACTGTAAACTGCCAGGCGCAACACACATCTGCTGCTAGCGCCAGAGGGCAGCGCATGTGCGCGCAAGAGAGAGAGAGAGAGAGAGAGAGAGAGAGAGAGAGAGAGAGAGAGAGAGAGAGAGAGAGAGAGAGAGAGATGGAAGATCATCCCGCATTGGATTTGATTGAAGCAAACAACCAATGGTACAGCGCGAAGGCTGGTCTGGGCCACAAGCCAAGTAGGAGGGTGGCGGTGGTTACCTGCATGGACTGCAGAATGGACCCTCACAGGTTTCTCGGTCTGGAGCCTGGCAGCGCTCACATCCTGCGTAACGCAGGGGGTCGGGCTGCCGATGCCCTCAGGTCTCTGATCATCAGCCAGCAGTGTCTGGGTACCGACACTGCTGTCGTTATTCACCACACGGAATGTGGTGCAAAGGGATTAAATAACAATGCGTTTCAAGATGTGGTGAAGTGCGCCGTGGGGGTGGATTCGTGCGATATGGATTTTCAGCCGTTTGAAGATCTGGAGCAGTCGGTGCTAGATGACATGGCACTAATTAAGGAGAGTCCTTTCGTCTGGACCACGGAGGTTCAAGTGTTCGGCTACATCTACGACGTGAAGACGGGCACCATCCACAGAGTGGAGGAACGAGGAGCACTCAACACAGATGAGGAAATTCTGCGATTGTTTGAAGAAGGGAACAAGAGATACAGAGCGGCATTCGTGAAGGGAGATATGCACCACAAACCCTCCCAGAAGCTGGCAGTGATCACCTGCATGGATTGCAGACTAGACCACATGAGGATCCTAGGCTTGGAACTCGGTAAGTCGCCAAAGTCAGGAGTACGTGCTTTTTTATTTTTTTATAGATGTTGAAGGCCTTAAAATGTCATCGTCATCTGAAAGGAATTGAAAAAAAACATTGTGGAACTAAACGGTCCCAAGCATACATGCGGCGCGTCGACGTGCCCTGCACCTCGCACACGCGCCGCACCGCGCACAGCGCAGGACGCGCGCGCACTGGGTGCGGCGGACCCCGAAAATAAGGGGTCAAGAAAAAAAAAAAAAAAAGGTTGGGGAGGGGTGTTTTAGGCGTGAGTGGGATGTCACGTCATAAACCACAATAAAACAAAAACAAAAATTTGAGGCCGCGCGGGGCCTCCAAAAAAAAAGGGGGGGAGCTGAAGTTAGTTTTTTTGTGTGTGTGTTTGTGACACAGAGAGAGAGAGAGAGAGAGAGGGGGGGCGGGAAGAGGGAGAAAAAAGTGGCGATGGTGGATGGCGGAAGGCGGGAGAAAAGCTGAAGGTGGGATGGTGGGAAGCGGCGGAAGAAGTCGGGAGG